TGCGATAGACTTGCCTCCACGTGGTACATCCTGGGCAACGAATACTCATACGGCAAGAAATCTATAAACTTACCGTTGAGCTCAAGCTAACATGACCAGACTTTATGTCATATCCCACCACTTTTACAATACTCACCCTACCTTTTTCTCTATCTTTGTGTTCGTCTCTTTTGTTCTCCCTCTCAACTTTGTGTGTTCATCCCCTCTATGAAGCCCAAAGTTAACCAAAGGGCTAATGATAACTGTCATAAGGTCTGTCATTTGATATGAATAAATCTTGGACAAGGGTACGCATTTAATAAATCCTCACTTTCAAATGAAGATACATGAAAATATTCGATTTGCTTGCTCTTAATTACCATGTAAGGATATAAGAATGAAAAGTTTGAGTTAATATTTGAACAGAGATCCTCCGATTCCAACATTTATGCAGACACGAAAATGACTCAATGGTCGCTTTGCGCTAGAAATCTAAGCATTCAGAGTTTACTTCACAGTCAGGGAGGACGCTTACTTGACCGTCAGTTTCGTCAATCAGGTTTGCGTGACACACGAAAGTTGAAAGTAACTTCACTCTCTCTAATACAATACTGAGACGTTTACAGCTAATATTATATTCCTTCTTAGGGGTGTGCGATGGACTTACCTCCTCGTGGTGCACCCTGGGCAACGTATACTCATATGGCAAAAGAGTCTATTAACTGGCAGTTGACTTCTGACTTCAAACTACCATGACCCCACTGTATGTCATATTCGGCCACTTTCACAGTATTCATTTTACCTTTTTCACTACCTTTGTGCCTGTCTCTTCTACTTCTTTGAAACACTATTCTGTTCCCCCCCCCCCCCCACTCTCGACTTTTTTCACTTTGATGTTCCTCCCCTCTATGAATCCTGAAGTCAACTAAAGGGCTAATGATAACTATCAAAACGCCTGCCATTTGATAAAATTAATAAATATTCCTTCTTTAGTCAAGGGAATGTGCGGTTACATTGTAGAAATATGCGAAAAGCTACGAATTTTGTCGCAGTTTGATATTTCAAAATACTAACAACGAATTTAAGAATCTCTTTAAGTGATGAAGCATAGTATTCCCTTGGGCCAAGGTTTTGTAAAAGTAAATTGTTTCCTATTTTCGTTAAGCAAGCATTTTCACGATATTGATCACAAGTTAGTAGAAGTAAACTCGAATTCAAACCTGTCTAAAGTTACAATTCGACTAGAAATTGTCATCAACGCTACAATGCGTGATAAGAATATGGGCAGGTCAATCACGTATACTTGACCGCCTTGACAACAACGGAATAAACAAAAGTGAGAATTTCATCAAACTTCATTTTGTTACCATTCACATCTTTTATATATTTTTTGTGTAAATATTTTTAGGCACGTCATATATATGTGAGATTTGGTAAGTTTTTTAAGAAAAAAAACAATCAAGAAGCAAATCAACTTTATGAGTAAAGTTAAAGAGTTATTGATTGGATTTTGCGGTTATACGGAGATAGGTGTCAACTACTTCAAATCATCGTCAAAACGATGGATATGTATCGACAATTTTCTGTTCCATAATTTGACTATTATCACTACGTCACCGATTTACTATTCATAATGTCCCGAATTAATAAGAATCAAGTAACAATATGCTTTTCTTCGTCACCAAAATATATATATATATATTTCTATTAAAAAAACAAGATTTTACTTTGCAACCTCTGACTTCCTTATGCGATGAAGTCATTTTTCAAATCGGTTACTGGCTGTATACCTCAAATAGGGATCTATTTTAAATGTTAAATAATATATATATATATAATAGGGAAAAAATTATTGTGACAACAGCGAAACAAAATTTTAAGTCTTGCTTAATAACATGCCTTTACATATGTAAAGTATGCAGTTTTTTCCAGCTTTTTGAGACTTTGTTTGACTTGAAGTCTGATGCCTTGTTTGTTTCCATGATCTTGTCATGTTCAACACTGATCTTTGAGACCTCATTATTATCTCGACCCCAGTGTGGCGTGTGAAGTGTTTCACTCTGCAGTACACTAAAATTCCATAACGAGAACAATCGCAAGCATTTGAATTTGATAAGTTAGTTAAGTGATCCATAACATAGTATCCCCCTTATCACCGATGACTAGAACCATTTCATCTGTTTATGCTCCAATTTTCTATGCAATCTAATAAAGACACCTTTTGTACATGGGGGGAAGGGGGGGGGGGGAGGTTGGATCAGACGCAAACATGTCAGTTATCGGCTCGAATGCACCTATTACCCCTCTCTCACTGTTAGGCGACCTTTCACTCCTAGTCTTCCTGATAATCACTAAGTATCAGTTCAAGCACATTGATTTGTCAACATCAGCACCTGAGTTAAAATAATGCATTTGGATATTACTTTTGGTACTCAAAGAGAAGTGTTAAATATCCAAAATCAACTAATTTTTCTACGCATATCCCACAATCTATAATTACCTCCTGATTTCAGTCAATCCCATGGCTGACATTATTTCTCTCCTGTTGGGAATTTCCACTGAAGCGCACAATTGTCGTTAGGGCGTGTAAATTTTCCCTCAAAACCCCGTTTCACTCTCACTCTAGGCTTTGGGATAATGCCCTAGATGAAGGCTTACACTAAACAAACTTGCTTTGTTGTGAATAGTACTATATTTATTTATAGCAAAGAATGTAACACCAGCGTGTGGGCGTCTGGTCACTCTTAGCTACCTAAACTCGCCTGGAAATAGTTTTAAATTTTAGGGCAAAAGTTTTCAATTACTATTGGCGTAGGAAAGTTAAACAATATTTACATTCTCAGAACATTAAGCAAACTATTTATCCTCTACCTCCTATACCGAGTTCTAAACAATAATTTTGTATGCTCGCAATGTTGAAATCGCCTCGTCTTAGCCCATGTATTAAACACGTATTCTCCGATGCTTCCTCTGCGAGAAAATATGTATCATATATAAAGAAATAGTATTCTTAAAGAGATTGAAAGTGCATTTTAGATCTCTATTCAGATATGCTCCTAGTTTTCATTAGGATTTCTCGTCTGCGGATGCGGTACGAGGTTCTATACTGCAGTGGCTTTGTTTCGAGGCCGTTTTTATGTGAAAATACTGCTTGGTTTTGACTTTCAGATGCAAATTCTTAGAATTATTTGGACATTTTTTCGGCACCACATTCCACAAGAGGGGAAAAAACTATCCCTTGGAATTTGGCAAATTTAAAGTTTTGCGCCTTGAGCTGTTAGTAACACCAGCTGAGAGTAAAGTTTACTAGGACAAAAGGAAGCGCGTCACTTAACTCCCATCAAGAATCCCTGGTTTCTGTAGCTCTCTTTCTCTTTTCAGCATCAAAAGCCTAGTCTATCTCAAACTTGTAATTAATTTGATTAAGTGGTAATAAACACCATTTTGATATTTATTATTTTTAGTGATGATGCGTGTTTGTTCATGTCGTTTTCATCACCGTTCCAGATACGGGTCAGTGAAGTGCTTTCGCTTATTTACATGACCTTTGGTAATTTGGCGTGCATAATAATTTTCATGTATTTCTTTAATATTAACCCTCAAAAATTTTAATCAACCATAATAATTTATACTCTTCAAATGTATATTACTCGATATCATTTTAGTTGCACCAGTTTTGCCATATTTTTTTATCTCAGATAAAGTTTTTCAATTAATTAATTAATTAGTCATTAGTTAATTAGTTATTCAATCCGCCTTCTTTTGTATGGCTGAGAAGCTATTGCGTGATTATTTTCATTGGACAAATCTTATGGCCTAAGTGCAAATTAGCACTCGCGGAATCAAGTCATGGTTAATGTCACTTATTGTTTCGGTTTAAGACGTTGATTTAAAATAGTGCGCACATGTCGGTTTAAAGAAGGCCATAAATCAATATTTACATTATCTCTCGCCTTCGTATTGGTAAAACTCACTCTGTCTAAAACAGACTAATTTGGTGATTTCCGGCTTTTTAGGGCAAATTGGTATCTTTAGGAGACGGTGAAGACAATTGTGTGAAAAGGATAAAGGTACAGTACTTTAAGGACTGGACAAAGATTTTTTGCATGAATTGATATGTTTTCCGAATTTTGAAACACCAAAATCAATCACCCACTAACTTTAAACAAATAATCAGAATAAAATATCAATCTAGGGTGTTGAAAGTTTAAATAGGTAAATCTTAAAAAATTTACCCGTATTTTTTTGTCAAATGCTAAGTGAATACATTTGGAAAAGAGTGCTTGAAGTCATCTTACTTTATTCGACCAAAAAGAAGTGAAGCCCCAGGAGTAAAGCCTCGATGGGTCAAGATGGCAAGTTCCGCCTAGATTTGAGGGGCGTAGTCATTGCTCCCTCCACTTCCTCCCTCTCTCCCTCCCAAACGGATTTTGAAGGGAGGCTGCGACCAAAAAACAGCACTTTGAATGTTCAAGGTCTGAAAAACATGTAGGATTTTGTTAATAGGTTAATTGGACATCTGGAGTATTTATAGTGACACGAAATTATTTGAAACAATTACTTACTGTCATAAAATTTCACAGTTAAATAGCTGACTTATACATCGATATAATCCAGCATTCTTTGCTGGCGCCAGCAATATAGAATTCCATGATTTATTAATTTTTTTTCACTTCCCTCCTTTGTTTGCTAGAACACATTAAATTAATGATTTGAATAGGGATATGGGTTGTTACATGTGAATCTTTTTCTAATGATTAACAGTAAAAAAATCAATAGTTCAAATATACAATTCAGACAGGTGAATTCGTAACGAGAGTAGAGTGCAGGAGAATTCAGTCCATGGAGTTCGGGAAAACCACTCCCCCCCTCCCTCATGGCGGTCCTTTTTCAAGCAACCTTTGAAAGAGCCTCGCGCTGCCAACGGTGTCAATATTGAAAGGAAGACATTCTGATAATTGGCCTTTCAACTATCCCTGCTTATTTATAAGACTTTAGGCGATTGCATGATGGTAGTTAGTGTTGACCATTGTATCAAAGGAGCACTGATCTCTCTGAAAATGAAAGAAATTTGCCCCCTTATCCACCGGTTTTGCTTGAATTTACTAACTGGTATCTGTAGGCCCTTTAAGCCCTTATGTATGGCTAAAGGCATTTGAAAGTATACTATACAATATAACAATAGGCTACCTGGTAATTCTATCAAACATTAATTTCCGAGATCAAAATACTGCTTTTTTCCCAATTTACCTTTCGATAAAATCAACACCACCCTGTTTAAATAGGGAATTTTACAAATCGAATATAATGTCATCCCCACAGTTGCCTGTTCCTCTAATATTAAACCATTTAATGCTTAATGATTTATTCTATTTGCTTCATACAAGTTTTATAAAAACTTAAACAGTAGATTTTAACATTAACTAGGCTTGCTTCCAAAAATTTATAATAACTAATGGGGCCAATCTCAATAATTAAACAATGAATTAGAGGCAAACAAGTTTCAAAATTAAATGAATACGGTGCTCTTTGTTTTAAACCTTCCAAGGTTGCTTTTCATCGTTGACTGCTGCTATTCTCCAATTAATAAATTGCTAATGATTTCACTTAGAAGGATGGTAGCAACACTGAATGCCAGAAATTGGGAAAATGCAAATTAGAAATGGACTGTATTACGTAAACAAAGAACTTGATGATCCAATATAACTTATTTTATTTACTATTCATTTTAATTATTTATGATGGGAAAAATTATTTCAAGTGGCGAGCGTTTTGTTAGTTATCATTAGTCCTTTAGCTGACTTCAGGCTTCACAGAGGGGAGGAACATCAAAATACGAGAAAGTCAAGGGGTGGGGAACAGAAGAGTGATTCAGAGATGTAAAAGAGATAGATAGGTAAGATGAGTACTGTTGAAGTGGTCGAATATGACATAGAGTGAGTTCATGGAAGTTTGATGTGAGAAGTCAACTGCCAGTTAATAGACTTTTTTGCCGTATGAGAATACGTTGCCCAGGTTGCACCACGTGGAGGTAAGTCTATCGCTCACACCTATGGTGAAAAAAATAATGAGAAGGATTCGGCTAAATTCTTAAAAAATTGATACTCAAGAGAATATATATACAGAAAATTGATTAAAAATGGGATATTCGAAAATTCCTGTCGAATATTATTTCATATGGATTTTTGATTTTTTTATTTTAATCTGCTATTCTATGTTCTACTTCTTCATTACACAGCTTCAACTTGTCTTTCTGCTCATGTCGAAATGGAGGTAATTAAATAATCATTCATAGTGTATGGTTTCGATTAAAAATGGCCATTAGGGGATATTTGCTTTCAGAACAGCTCTAGCTAAGCCTTGTCCTTTCATAGACCAAGATAAAAGGGAGATTTATTGCAAAGGAAAATACGATTCATATCAAACCATTCAGCCGTTTTTACGACATAGCTGGAGACTGCAAACTAAATCAAATTGCCTAATAAATTAATGATTAATTAATTGATAAATGATAAGAGAGAGTGGCTCTATAATTGTGTAGTGTCAGAATGGAGAGCAATTTTTGTAAATTTATTTTTCAAGCTTTGATGACATTGCACCATCATGTTCAGATTAAAGTGAATGAGTTCATTTCCATGACGTTTGTATATTAGCTAATAGTTCAATATACTGGGCATCTGGAAATGACATCTCAACAAATGCTCCTTCTCCAGCAGATGGATACACGCTTCCAACGTGGGAGAGCATTTCTCTAAATGTGCTCAAATAACTTTTATAATCATCTAACTTCAAAGGAGTGGTCTTGAGCACTCCGTTTCTGTTTCAATTGTTCTGTGAAGTGATTATTAACAAAAACTGCTAATTCAGAATTTTATGTCTCATATTTTAATTTTAGGAGGTAGTTTCTTCAGGCAATTTGAAAGGGGATTAAAACACACCTTAATTCATAAAATGAATGGCCTAATATACTACTGACTTCTGCATAGAGTATGTATAATTTTATTTAGTATCATGAATTAATGCCATAGCCATCAGTCTACATAGCTTAATGAGCTCAACTCACCCAAAAGTTTCATCGGATTAATTGTGGACATGAAGTTGCGAAATAATCCAGTTGGTGAAATAAGAAGTTTTAATTATTGAACACAAAATACCAAGGAAGTGAACAATGCTCAAGGCTATTCCACAAAGTAAATGAAGTAAGACTCTTCTGATACCTTGCCGTTGGCTTCAACATCGTTTTCAATCACCGCCTCCCCCCATTGTCTTTTGTTGGACTTTCTGTCAATCGATTTCAGCTTCTTCCGGAACTGAAAATGGTATGAATTTTTTCATGCGACTAAAGCTTAAAAATTCATCAATAGTCCGAAACTCCGATCTGTGTTACTCTAATAAGTTACCGAAAGGCAGTGGAATCGATGGAACAGCTGTGATGAACGGATTTCGATCAAAATTGATGTCGAATTGAGGTGCACGAACGCTAAGGTTGCACTTCTACGCATTCCAACTTAGAAAATCAAATTGCTATACTTATCAGTTCTAATAAGCAATAACACAGTAATTCAAGAAATGCAAATAAGATGTTGTGCTTTTGCATTGGGCCTAAATTAGTTTTAATTCTATTTTAAATCGCATTGCGTGACATTTTAATTGCCTTCTAGATTTGGAATATTTACAAAAGTTAATTAAACTCCTTCACCTCTTCTCCTCCTCCTCCGACTGCTCTTAGTAAATTGTGCTTTTTCCTCTGCCACCAATCTGAAAATGAATTTTTCTCTATATTTTCAAAAGTTAGAATATTTACATATTTTATTCAATGCCAAAATTTTAAGTACAATAAATTTATTTAAGTACAAATTGGTTAAAAGTATTCAGGAAGTAATCTTTGGAATAAAACAAGTTTGAAATAAAAAATAACATTTGGGACAAAATACACTTTTAGATAATTAGTGGATTGTTTTATGATTGGAATTTTAATTGAAGTTACAATTTAAATTAATGTAAACAAATTGACCTCTGGAAGTTTTATGGCTTTCTCAGTTACGGTATTTCATTTTACTTTCCACAAATAATTTAAAAATTTCCCATTTTAGTTGGGCATACTTAACGCAGCTTTATCAAGCAATCGCCTACAAGACCCATATTAATCAGCTGGAACGCCATCGATGCACCATTTCAAACGGAATCCCAAGTGATGACTGTTATAATGTTCGGAGAGGTCAAGGCAACTCAATGGGTCATCTGTACTGGCAACTGAATGACATTTGGGCAGCCCCAACTTGGTCTACGATTGATGTTGTCGGCCAGTGGAAGATTTCCCACTATCTGGCAATTCGTGATACATCCACGGTCAGCCACCCTATCGGCCGAATTATTGTTTCACACATTCGGGAACGAGTATTAATAAACTGGGTCCCTCCTATTAAATCATCGGCCAAATCCAATATCATTATCCGTATACTATGTCCCTCCATCGCCTACTTTGATCAACAACCTACAGTTCTTTTGGAAAATCGTGTTGAACAATGGGAACCAAATGGATGCCCAATTAAAATAGCCAAGTTTGAGAAGAATCAATTACTGTCAAAGTGTCCATTGGGTGTTTTGTCAACTATAATCAATAATGGAATTCAGCAAACTAATGACACAGTGCTAATATTAACTCCAAAATATATGCGACGATTCTGGCCGAAGAAAGCAGGTTTAATTAAGATCGAATCGATCAAACCTGTTGATAGAATTACCTTCAACACACCTAGGCCCCCTTTTCGATGGAAACATGTCTTTGAAATTGACTTGATTTCAGAGGTACCGGAGTTCTATGTCTGGTTAACTGTCGATCCTTTCAAGGATATGGATGGTTGGTTCACGCAGAATGCATTCAATATGATTACAAGTAACAGAAAAACGATCCTCTACTTTTTGAAAGGAAATTCATCCCTTTCCCCGAATGAATTGAAAAAGGCTACCAAAGTTTACTCCCTTGGTTCCGTTCTCTCCTGAAATGCAACTGCAAAAGCTCACTCTAAGTGGTATAAACTGTCATCGCGACGTACGTCAAAATAGTGTGAGAGTGAAATAAAATTTTGGCCTTTTTCCTGAAAATGATTATTTTTTGTACTGAACCTTACTTCAATTGATGATACTTTATTATTAAATAATTATGCTTATGTATAATTTTCAAAAATTCTAATATGGTCAAAATCGCTAAAATAAAATGAATAACTTTGTTGAAAGTTCAGTTTTGTGGATAGAAATATGACTTTTTTTGCACTTCATTATTGATTATCTTGAAGTCACTTCCTATATGGTGTAGTGGATGTTTGTTAATCGTTATCTTTGTCTCATTAGTTAATTAGGAAAAGAGGAGTTTTTAAATTTTAATTAAGTCGTGGAGAACGATACCTTAATCTCTAAATACATAATATTGCAATAGTAGAAGTGGAAAAAATCATAAATCAATATAATTTATATGTTTAGCCGTAAAATGGTCAATACTGAGCATCTCATCATTCAATGACAATTACAAAATCCACATAAGTGAAAAGTTAAAATTGGAATAAAGTTTGACCAAGTTTGAAACTTAAGCTCAAATACTGAAAGCTGAAGAAAAGTTGTGTCTTGCTCCCAATAAAATCCAATTTCATATCTGATGTTGTAGTTGATTTTAAGCCAAAAACTGGCTTGTTGTGAAATAATATATTAAAATCTGATCTCAGGGTTTGTGCCTCATTTTTTGTCTAATAAAATAGGAGGGCTTGAGTAGTAAAGGTTGATAATTACAAGTTACCATTTATGCTATTGTCTGAATTTTCAGTATTATCTCTGATTACACAAGCAAACTATCGCATTCGGTCTATTCCATATTAATCATGCTTTCCTAGCTGGAAACCATTATTTATTAATTACTGTCGCTCTCACCCCCCC